TCACTTTACATGTCAAATGGGACAGCAGCGCCACCTTACAGATTTATCCTGAGAACTAAGCCAAGCAGCTAATAGAGTGCCGGACATACAGCAGGCGCTCACTGCATGTGACCCCAGTGTCTGGCATACAGCAGGCGCTCAGTGCATGTGACCCCAGTGTCTGGCATACAGCAGGCGCTCAGTGCATGTGACCCCAGTGTCTGACATACAGCAGGCGCTCAGTGCACGTGACCCCATGTCACATGGGGTCACATTTCCTTCCCCTCCTGCTGCCTCCTCTCCACTCAGTTCTCACTGTGGCTCACTCTCTGTACACCGTGGGGGAGCAAGGGAGGAGTCTCGGGGTGTCCTCGTGCGTGCCCCACTGACCTCTGCTCTCCCTCCTCCAGTCTCAGCTCTGGTCGGACCTGAGCAACACATCCAGCCGTGAGCTGGCGGACAGCTTCCGCTCCAGCAGCCCCGCGCCCCCCAGCCAGCAGTCCCTGTACAAGCGGGTGGCCGAGGACTTCGGGGAAGAACCCTGGTCTTTCAGGTAGAGCACGTGTGGCACTGGGGTCCTTCCTGGCAACTCACCAGAGACACCAACCTAGACCTCAGGGCATCTGGGTGTTGCAGGCAGCAGCTCCTGCCCTCAAAGCGGAGCTGGCAGGTGCTGGGGGCCAGTGCTTGGGGCGTGGGGACTCAGAGGGAGCAGGTGATGTAGTTTGAGCCTGCTGCTGCTTGTGCTTTGCAGCAGCTGCCTGGAAATCCTGGAGGGAGACCCAGGAGCCCCGCCGGGAGCTAAGGCGGGCGACCCACACCTGGATGATGAGCTCCTAGACAGGGCAGGTGAGCGTGCCCAACCCTGAACCTTCACAGCAGCCCACCTCCCCTGGGCAGAGCAGGGAGCGGATGAGAAGGCCAGGGCCTCTCTCCAGGGAAAGAGCAGATAGAAACACAGCTCAGCTTCTGCCCTGGGCCTTGACCTTGGCCTCGACCTTGCACTTTGGGAAAGTCCCACCTGCCAGCCAGCATAAGCCAAAGGCCAGCTGCGCTCTGTTTGCTGGCGTCCTTGTGTTTTCCCCTGGAGCCAGGGAAGTTGTGTTTGATCCACGCCCCGCTCAGCACCCAGCCCCCTGCTCTGATCTGCAACGCTTGGGCTTCCCAGTGGTTTCAGACGGCAGCAGGCAGGGTCGCTTAGTGGTGCCAGGCTGAGGCCAGGCACAGCGTGACATCTACCTGAAGGGAGCATCTCTCCTCTCAGGCGTTGGCCCTAAGGCCTCATGCTTCTCTTGTGGCTCATTTCTGTTTGTGATTGGACCAGCCCTCTCTCCTTCCAAAGTCCATGGGCCCATCACGGGTGGGTGCCTTCGCCTTTCCACCTCAGCGCAACTGGCTCCCAGCCTTTGGCCTTGCACACAGTAGGTGCTTTGCTCCCCATCTGGAATTCACCTCATGGCCACCAGGGGGCGCAAGTGCCCCGCGCTGCCCAGGTGCCTCCTGTGGGTCGCACGACCAGAAACCGTCATCTCTAGGGACTCATACAGGTTTTTATGTATAACAGCGATAAATTGACAGAGTCCACCCAAGGCATATCTAAATTAGATGTGAGATGAGAAGGGAGAGCTTATTCGTCTGTATTTTTCCTCTGTGAGGATTCTGCGTAATGCCCTGGTTGCATGTACTTTTAGTGGAATTGACCTCAAATACATCCAGGGTACACACCTCATTTCATTGGCTTTGAATGTGATCCCAGTGGGTTTTTGCCTGTGAGCCAGGCCTAGGGAACTCTTAGGTCTGTGCTGGCCCTGGTTCTCCTGTGTGGTTCACAGAGTGAGACTTGCAGCCGTGGACCCTGGCAGGCTGCTCCCTGGCTCGGGTGCTCACAGGCTGTACAGGAAAATGCTAGAGCTTGGGAGACCCTGGGGAGCCTCTAGTCCTAGGATTGACAACTCAGAGACCTGCCACGACCAGCTGGGAAGCAGAGGGGTTTGGGGTAAGGAGCAGGCAGCCGCTGGCCAGTGCCAGTCATTGCTGCCCCACAGAAATGCAGGCCAGCGTGGAAATGCAGGGAAGTACAGTAGTGCAGGTCTGCATAGAAATGCAGGTCCATGTTTGGGAGTCCGAGGTGGGTGGATCACGA